GGGCGGCCTGGCCGGCGACAGTGAGGGCCCCACCATCGCCATCCTCGAGGAGTTCAGACGGTGTGACTATGGGCGGAGATGAGCAGCATAGTTGAGCGACAGATGCCGTCTCAGATGTTTCTTTCAGGAGCCCGAAGCTCAGGACAAGGACGGCCCTTTTCTGAAAAATTTGGCTCAGTGCCCGGCTTGGCCGCTTAACGAATCGTTTTGTACTGGTAGCTGTCGTGAGGATGGCAAAGGAAGAGAGGGCAAGGAGAAGGACCAGAAGGACCAGAAGGACCAGAAGGAGAGCAAGGAAAGCAAGGGAAAAGGCAAAGACAAGGGCGAAGGCAAAGGCAAGGGCGAGCAAAGTGGGAGCGGAAATGGGTGGAGTGCCGATGCTGAGAAGCTGCTGCGGCTCGTGAAGCGCCTGGGCCCCCGTAACCCGAACCTTTGCTCCAGCGCCTTCTTGAACAACTTCTTCCGGGACCTCCGCCTGCCGCAGCTCCGTGTTGGGCCCTGCCTCGGGGAGGCGCGGCGTCTCAAGAGGGAGAAGAAAGAGAGAAAGAGAGAGAGAGAGAGAGAAAGAGAGAGAGAGAGAGAGAGTGTGTCCACACGACATACCGTGAAAGCCGCTCCGCAATGCTGGGGCGCGCGCATCGCGCGAGGGCCCCGTGCCCTCATGCCCCCAAGAAAGAAAGAGAGAAAGAAAGAGAGAGAGCGCACGAGAGAGAGTCGCTGCTTGAGTTTCTTTCTTTGCGCCGCCCTCAGAAGTGGGAGTCGGTTTTTGCCCCGGCCCTGCGTGCTCATAAGCATGCGTCTGTGGCTTGCCTCGGAGGGTCTCCCTTCAGCCTCCAACCTAGGTAGGGGAGGCTCTGAAGCAGGAGTTTGCCTTCTTCTTGTATCTATAGTTTGGTTTCGCGCCACCCTCAGGGTAGGATGGTGCATTGTTCAGGCCTTGAAGCCCGAACTTCGGAAGCGGTTATTGGCTTTATGTTTTGTGCCGCCCTCATACGCAGTGGTAGGCTTGACCAAGCTGAGAGAGAGAGAGAGAGAGAGAGAGCAGTCTGTAGTGGGGGAGTGACCTAGTGTCGAAGTTATGAGGTACCGATGAAGGGGCCGGTGGTAACTAGGGGGTGAAAGCTCAGAGCTCAACCGACCAACCCTCCTCCGAGAAAAACCGAGGGTCCCGAATACCTTGGCTGGCGCGAAGCCCGGGGGGCTTGCCCCCAAGAAAGAAGGAAAGAAAGAAAGACAGAAAGAAGGAAAGAAAGAAGAGGACACACCTCAGGTGATTCTCTACCACGCCCTCCCTTCCATGTATATACTCTGGCCTTGATTTGGTTTGGCAAAAAGAACCCCTATTTTATGCTGTGTGGATAATCGTATGATTGTTCTCGTTTTCTCTCTACTATAATATGATGAATTGGGAGCTGTCATTTCCTCCCTGAATATTTAATACTGGAACGTGCATGCACTTGGTGTTCATTTACTGGCTCTTTAGGCAAAGCCAATATCATACTTCCCTTACCCAAACCCTTAACAAAAAACAACCGTCCGAAACAAAGGTGACCCCAACAAACTGAAATCGCGGAATCTTCGAACTTGGTGATTGTAGACCCTAGAGGCCCTAGAAATATTCAAAAGCCAGTGCAACAGTGCAACAGTCCCGTGCCTCACCGGCTCCGTCGGCCGTGGTGGAAGAACTGGAAGAACTATTCCCGGTTGCCCAATGAAAGAAGAAAGAAAAGAGAGGTTGAGGGGGACACATGGGTTGGTGGGGGGTTTGTAGGTGTGCAGGAAGGAAAGCAAGTTTCCCGGAAGTTGTGGTTGTGTGCCTTGGTCGCGAGGCCGCAGTGGGCTTCTCGCAGCTCTTGTCCCTGGATGTGTCCCGGAATTACCTGGTGGACATCGCGTACCTGCCGCCGAACCTACGCTTCTTGCGAGCCAGGGCCCTGGAATTGCCTGCGCTGTTTCGGCGTTCCGAGAGTCCCCCATGCGCAGCCCAGAGTCCCAGAGTGCCCAGAGTGCCCAGAGGCCTACAACAACAGGCTCACTCGTCTAAGCTGCAAGCCGCTGGCCTCGCTCTGCTTCCTGGGCCTCGGCTTCAACCCGTAGCTGAGCTTCAAGATATGGCTTCTGAATTCTTTCAATTCAAAGCTTCAGGTGATAAATCAGGATGACCCTCTCATGAGCTGTCATGGGCGGCGGTTTTCTGCAAGCCGTCAGGTTGGGTGATGCTGGGTTTGCCGACGCCAGCAAGTTCCCGAACCTGCTGTCGCTGGATGCAGGAAACACTGACACGGCCCGGGCGTTGTTTTGAGTGTGATGCTCTGAGATGCTCTGTAGCATGGTGTGCAAAATGGGGTACTGTAGTACTGCCTTAAGACAGGCAAGCCTGGCAAATGCCAAGCTGAAGCTGAAGCCCCTGGCGATGCTTCGGCACCTCTACTTGCTAGGCAGCCCTGTTTGCCGGGGCCTCTGCTCACAGGGCTGGCCTGTGAGATCAGGAATCAAAGTTCTGGAGCTGTTTGCTTTGACGAAGAAGAGAAGCTCCAAAGATGCAGAATCAGCTATGGCATTTTTCCCAACCATTTTTCCAGACGCTGACCAGCCGTGTCCCCCTTGCGTCGCCACAATGCTATGTACTCCAGCATCCGGGTAGAAGCGTGGTAGAGGTTAAAGTCAAAGCGTTGGAGAGTGGGTCATTGAATGACATTGAATGTCACTGAGGCCTCTTGCCCTTCTACCGGTTGCAGCTTATCCATCAGGCAGGCTTTGATCAGTTGACATTGTATCTTGTTTTACAGACGGCTGGGATGCAGCGCTCTCCATCTCAAGCTGTTGCACGACACAAATTCGGACGATGAAAAGAGCTGCAGAAGGCCATGGAACACGATCGCCAGCAGACATCGTGAAGACTCGCGAGACAGAATTTGGACGACGAGATCTCAGAAAGCCATGGGTCAACATCACGCAAAGAGCCCACCGTTTAGCAGCAAGCGGCGTGCCAGTAGGAACAGAGACAAAGCAAGCTGGGACGCCACAGCAAGTACACAAGTGACAGGGAATGTGGGGCACGCGCGAACCACACGGCAAGATCCTGGCCTGTCCATACGCACAGTGTGTGAAGCCGTGCGATGGGTATTGATGTTGCTTTGGTGGGTTAGGCACATGTGACTCAGAGCGTGATGTGGCGTGGTACTTGTTTGAGCCTGTATTGTTTTGGGAGCGTGTACGCTTGCTTCTGTAGCTCATGCCGTTTGAGGGCAGTGAAGAAGTCCTGTCATGATGCTACCCTTCCTGGCCAACACGCTTCTTTTTTGCCAAAACTTTCCTGAGCACTTGCATGTGTGCATCTCGAGTGGTCCCTTAATATGGTCCCTTGCCTGCCTTATAGAGGGTTCTGAAGTATGGGCATGTGGGTATGGTACATATAGAAATAGAATATTTACGGCTCCCAAAAAGTCCATACTTAGGGCATCTACCCAAAGCCTTCAACGCCTTGTGTCTTCAGAAGCGTGCCAGGTGCCGCAGCTCCAGGCAAGGTGGTGCCAACATGTGCCAACTCCATGGTAACGAAGTGTTAGGCAGATTGGACGAACATCATCTCTTGTGTCGCGTAGGTTCTGGACGGCTTGGCTCCTAGTGAGGAGGAGCTGGCAGAAGCACAACAACTCCCGGAGACGGGCGAAGCTTGCTCCAGCCATGTGCCCGAGTCGGCCGGCGGGGGGCTTGACTGGTGTCGTGTGACCTTGGCCTTCGGCCAGCTGACAAGCCACCAGGAAGTGGGAGTGCTTGCCACCACTTGCCACCACAAGACCCTTCCAATAACAAAGTGTGCAGGTAGTATAGGTAATGATCAGACTCTCGGTTGGTGAAGTCTTGGCGAGAAGTGTCCATCTTTCAGTGTGCTGGCACCGACTTCAGGTACTGAAACGAAAGTGTAGCTGAATGCTCCTTGTGGAGAAGCGAAATCAACATCTGTCAGTTTGTGCAAAGCGCAGGAGCTCTTAAGGGAAGCGCTGTTGACAGCTGCTGATGAGGCACAAGATTGCTCCACGAGCTGTGTGATGTTTGTGTGCTCCACCGAGAGACTGCGTTGATTGCACTACCTTTGAGCTCCCGTTTAGACGCAGGAGGCCATTGCCTCCCAAGCGGCGGAGGCGGCAGCAGCGGGGGAGGAAGTGGTGGAGCGTGACGCCTTGGCTGAGAAGTGTGGTCAAGAGAGCCAGCTCCGCCTGACCTTCCAATTGCCAAATGGTATATGGGTGGCAACGAGCAGCATCAACCTCTGCAAGAAGACCTACGAGGTGGAAGAGGGTCAGCCTCCCCCGCCGGTGGTGCTCAAGGAGTCCCTGAAGCTCAAGGCCTTGCGCCAAGAGAGCGGCGAGCAGCTCAGCTTCGATCTTCGTTTTGACGAGGACCTTGGTGGCTTGCGGGCCTTACGCCAGTGGCTCCAGCGTGGCCTACAGATTAAGCTTTGGTACCTTGCCAAGCCCCCGGAGACACCGGAAGCAGCCCAGCCACTGCAGCCACTGGAGGCCAAGGTTGACACCGGAATGGAGGACGCGAAGCCGGCAGATTCAGCCGATGGAGGGGCGACGGAGGTGGCGGCTGTGACAGGCGAGGATGCGGAGGTGGTGGCCGAAGCAGCCCCCTCCTCGGTCAAGGAGGACAAGGACGGTGTTGGCGTGTGCTTGGGTGGCTGCGTGGTGCCCCTGTCCAGCCTTCTACAGCGGACGCCCACGTCGATTGGGTACCCAGATCCTTGGCAGCATGTGGCCGAGGTCAGTGTGGTGTCCGTGGCCCACTGGCTGAACCCTGAGATCCAAGTCCCAAAGGAGCGCGACAAGGAGAAGGCGGAGAAGGTTGAGAAGCCTGCTCCTGCCGCCCAGCTAGATCTGGTGCTGTCGCTTTACGCGACGCCATTGGAGGATGTTGTGGAGTCAGAGGAGGAGGCGCCACCGGCGCCCAAAGCGAAGGCCAAAGCTAAGGGAAAGAAGTAGAAGGGCAGACAGTGCTCCAAGCAATTAAAGGGCTCTTCCCCAAAGGGGCGGAGTTCCTGAGCAGAGGTGTCACACAGGTGTCACTGTGACCAGGGCTGAATTCACAGTCCAAGGCGCATCAGGCACGTGATTTAACAAAGGTTGTGAGCGGCTGTGGAGGCTCGATTCATGTCGGTGATCTGAGGTGATGTATCTGGGCCGAGGGGCAAACATCTGTCAACTCCATTGTCGGGTTTAACTTCTGAGCTGTCGTCGTCAACTCAAAGCTCAAACAGTAACGACACCAGGCAAAGACGGGCTAATTCAAGGATTCGATCATCTCAACATGTGACAACTCGGAGAAGTGAGAGTTGGAGGGGCACAAAATGAGAAGCCTGAAGTTTGAGAGCGAGCATGTGATGCGCGTCACTGATATGTCCTGCTGCGTGGCCAGCTTATGTAAAAGTCTGTAGGTGAACACCTTTAGATGGAGAACCCTATCGATTCGTCTCGATGGTCGAAGCCCGCGTGGCGGCGCTCCGACGCTTGGCGGCCGAAGATGTCGTGCCCGCCGTGCAGGAGCAAACGCGGTAGAGCAAAGATTGGAGGCAGTTGAGAATGCTGAGGCAAAGAGCAGTTGAGAGCAGGATGTCACCTGGTTCTTCAAGTTGAAAGAATCACCTTATCCTGGCTTCGACTAGTGGACCTCTGTAGGCACGAGCATGTGCGGTGGGGAAGCGCGACCATGATGGGGCTGCCCGAGCGAGAAAGACATGGATATCATCACGAGCGCTAGCACTGCGAAAGGTGGAGGTTGTTGAAGCAATGGGCAATAAGGTTTGGACATGTCTTTTTAAGTGTAGATTGAAATTGCTCAGTGTAGATGCGAAGGGCTTCTAGTGAGTCAGCAGAAGCATTTGTCAGGAGACCGTGGTGCGGGCCAGCGCCGGAACAAAGGCAGCTAGCCTCCGCACACAGTTGAGTACCATGGACAAAGTCGCCTCAAGGTCGTGCTTCAGAGGGATGTCCCCGGCATGGAATGGCTCGGCCTCAAGCAGCCGTTCCGATTGCATCTGCAGGCTCGGGCCGTAGTAATGTCAGGTTGCGGTGAGTTTTTGGATTTTTTTGGGACGGCTGTTCCGAGCCTTCGAAGCCGTCTCCGGCCACATGAATGGCCCTTCCTCAGTCGCCGTGCCATAGTGGCATATGGCCGTGGCAGAAGCGTTGCCTGATCGGCCGCATCGGCGCTTGCGGCGGCTGGTGTCTTGGACGTGCCTGGTCCTGGGGGCCGGCGCGGCTCGGCTGAGTTGCGAGAAGATTTGAGGGGGGTGTCCCATCTTTGTGTCGTTCTTCTTTTTGTGAAATGAAATGGAAAACAAAAACAAGAAAAGAGGTGTCTTTAACCGGCGACAGCGGCGGAAGCGGCGGAAGCGGCTTCACGCTGCCCCGGAGGGCCGTCGGCATTGCCCACCTCCTCGTCCTGCCGAAGGTCGCAGAAGCGTTTTGGCTCAGAATGGCAAAAAAGTTGCATTGAATGGCTTGTTTATGTTTTTCTCTTCTTCTGGACTACCTGGTTCCTTGTCTTCTTCCCCTCCGGCGAGGTTGCGAGTGGCCCGTCGTCGTGGACAAAACTATTTATTCTCTTTGATTCCCTTGCGGTCTCTTCTAGAGTCTATGTCTAAAGATGTCTAGAGATGTCTAGAGGCTCCAAGGAGCTGCGAAAGCATCCCAACGCCTTGCGGTCGTGAGCGGTCGTGAATTGGACTCCTCTTCTTCGCCTCTTTGCGACCCCAAGGCTCTGTGGTCCGTTAGCTTCCGAGGCGATCGAGGATGCGGGCGTGCCTGGGGGGCCCACCGAAGCAGACGTGAGCTCGATGCTGGGCTGTAATAGCCGGCTATATTTGTGTATGTGTTGAAAGCATTCCTCGGCATGAGATCTCTTGTCCACCACCACGACATTGTTACGATGACACGCCCATTTGTTTTAGAAAGTAAGTTCGGAGGCCGTACGGAAGCACTGACATGGCAACCAAGATATCCCCGATCCATGGCAGGCTTCGGGGAGGTCCTGGGAATAACTCTCATTCCCCCCTGTTCACTCGAAGACTTACTGCTATCCTTATGGGTTTTGTGGCTTTTCCCTAAGCCCTAAGCCTCAAGCCCTACGTTCTGCCCCAAACCCGAAGCCCTCAGACGAAAGGGAGCAGCCGACAATCCCAATATCCGAACTCTCCTCAGGGATTTGTCTGGGGCTTGGACGAGTAAAGCCTTTCTCAAAGTAAGAACGAGGTATCATTGCTTAGCAATTCCCTTCGGGGAGGTCCAATTAAGCATCTTAAGTCCAGCGCATATATCTTTGCAGAAGCCTTGCCATTTCGCTGTTTAGGGCTTGCTAGTTCACATCTTGGATTGAGGTTGCACATCCCGGCCTACACCCAGCCAACCATACTTGATCCCAATCCGCTTTACAGGAAATCGGCTGAATATAAGTGTTGGGTGGATTAGCCCTGGCATCTTTCCGTCAGCGAAGAAAACACTACCTTGCTCCTTCGAAGGTTGGGAGGAGGGACACTGCAGTGGGTTTGTGCATCATGTTCGGAAATTGTTTTTCAAGGATGCAGTCCGCGCTGTCGGCGGTGCAGCGTATCGGGGACTTTCCGAGCAAATCTGCGTTGGCCACAGCAGAGCAGGACATCGTCAGGGAGCGACAGGGAAAGCGAGCTTGTACTGATCTTTGTCTTCCATCTCTGCCGCAAGGAGCTCACGCAGCTGCTCTCGAGGTTCGCAGCCAAAATTTGACTTGCGCATTGCCAAAACAGAAGGCGCAGTCAGCTACTCCCAAGAGCCGAAGACAGGGTCCAGCGAGCTGAGGTGGCGTGTGCTGGCAGTGTCCGCGAATGAGGTCCCGGCCATCCTCCGGCGACGGGCCTACGAGTGGGCCCCGGTCAGGATCATGTTAATCATGTTTGACTGGTAGTGGATGGAGCCCAGGTGCACCTGCGCGGCGGCCGCTTGCAGGCGCAGTCGTCGGGTTGAGCCATGTTGAGACATGTTTGAGACATGTTGAGACCAGGTAACAGAGAGTGCAGGGCCCACGAGAGTTTTCAGGGTTTTGTGCAGAGGAGGCTTTGGCGGACCTGGACGAAGCTCTGCGACTATGCGAGGCCGAGAGAGGGCCTTTGCCCTGATCATGTCAATTGCACTCAATGTCGTGCCATATTTGGAACCTTCGAGGCCTTTGCTCGTATCCTCGAGTGACTCGAGTACCAGAGATGTTGCCCGCTTTTCGTAGTGCATGGGCTGCCAATCACAGCTCTTGTTCGGGGCATGGTTGCGAAAGTTCCAGCCCTGCTGGTGACCTCTTCCTGAATCAGCCCGGAATCTTTTCAGTTTAGCGACACAACAGTGCAACATCATTAGCCCCTCGTTGGAGGCGTCCAAGACGGATCCGATAGTGCTTTACGACGAGATGCCGAAGGCCGTGCGGACAGATGGATGTTAGCAAGTTGTCTCAAGCCTGTAGTTGTGACATGTTGTGACCGATTTTTTGTATTCTTGGTTCTGGAGTTTGTTCGAGATCGTTTGCCTTCAAAATCTGCACTTGTGGGCAGGTCCTGGTGTCGCGTGGCAATGTTTTGAGGACGGGAGTGCGTGAGGGCGAGTGAAGTAGAGTGATGCCTTTCATGGCTTTCTTGATGCCAGTGTTGCAAAGAGGTGTCCGTTCGTGCACTGAACAGAAACAATGGCTTTTCCAAATGATCATCAACTTGGAATTGCGTTGTCATTGTTGGTCTCTGGAGCGGACTGTGCTTCGGCCAAGCTGCAGGGGTTGGATGGGCTAGGTCTCCTGTTCGCCACAGGTTAGGATTTAGGAGGGGTGCATGGCAAGTGATGGCCCCTCCCCTGAACCAAAGCAGCTGCAAATTGAACAGGGCGTGCTGATAGTTGATAATGTAAGTTGCCCGTATCTGATCTGGGAAAAGTTCTAGGAATAGTGCAGGGCCATGCAGCGCTGGGATGCCGCCGTCTTGGACTACGACCGGGCGGCACAGCTCTTTGGAGAGCCTCTGGAGGACGGCTACGGGGCAGCAGATGCGGCAGAAGCCTTGCGCCTTCAGAAGCCTTTTGGGAGGACTTGGAGCTGCTGGAGGGCCGGGCGAAGGACATGGTTCCATGTTCTTGGCATACCGTGCTGCACGTCTCAGATGCTCATCGGCAGGCAAAAGTGGGCCAGGCGCAGTGCTTTGGCTGGATTGGTCTTCATGCATGAATGGGTGAATTGTATGCTTTTTGGTCGAAATCACGTTCCGCGTGTTAGTACGATTATGTTGTGCATGGTGGTGTGGCTTTGCCGTTGATTTGCTATTGCTGTGTACAGCTGCGTCCACGTGTTTGAAAAGAATACGGTTGCGTGGAGCCGCCTGGAATGACTCCTGGGCAGCTTGTGTTCGAGGGGGACGGGGCTGAGTGACGTCTGACTTGTGAGGTGAAAATGCATGAGGATGCACGCGTGCGCACGCGCTCGTGAGCTCAGTTGACTCTGCCCTCCAAGATGATGCTTGGCATTGCATGGCACACCAGGAACTCAGCAACTCGCCCAGAAGATCATAATTAGTTGTCATATTACCTTGCTCAGCTGCTCATCTGACCTGAACACGAGACAACAAACTGAAGAGGAAACACGAATTCAGTGTGTCTGCGGCTGAGAAAGGTTCCTTTCCGCCTCAGAGGATTTCGAGGTGCGATCTGTCGCGCTTTGCTGCTCTTTTCCTGAATCTTGCGCAGAATTTTTCTGCAGAATCTGGTGATGCTTCTTTCGAGGCCGCTGCCGCGCTGCTGCGCTCCGCGGGCCGCCGCCCGGAGGCGGAGATCGCCGACGAGCGCAGCGCGGTCGCGCTGCTCGGCGAGGCCCTTTTGGGAAAGCTCATCGAAACCATCGGGTGACTCGGTGACTCATTTCTTGGATCTCTAGGTTTTGCCTCAGAAATCAGGACCTCGCCAAGGCCGAGGAGGGGTTTGTGGGCGTGATCCGCCGCTGTGTGGGCTTGATGAGCCAAGACATGGCCCTGCTGCAGCGGGCCTGGGACCCAGAGCGCTGAAGCCACTGCCGGTTAGCATCCGCCGTTTTCCAAAGTATTCAAGGTGCGCAAAAGTGCCCTTGATACGAAGATACCAGAACATACCAGAACAGTCCCAGTTTAATCAAACAGGTGCCAAACTCTCAACTACTGAAACTGCTGCCCACCTGTGGTTGTATTAAAACCCCGTGAGTTCGATATTTGAAAGGGGTTGCCCGTGCTTCCGACTTGTGCAAGGAGAATCAAAAAAAAAACTGATATCTTCAAAAACATGGTCTGATCGGGGCTGGCAGGCGATATTCCAGTACTAAGCTTTGTACTACAAGCTTTGTACTACAAGCCAATGAATTCCTGCCGGGCCATGGGAACATCGTTCCAGTATTACGCTTGTACAGCCGGCTTACGGGGAACGCTGACTGCCGACTCACGGGGACTGGGTTCCAGTGCTAAGCTTGTACTACAAAACATTGAAACTCCTGAATACTTGTTCCACCAACAGCCAGCCTCAGACCTTGCAAAGAACTGGCAGGACCCTATGAAAGCCAACCAAGCAGCAGTCATTCTAGGCAGTGTGCTGAATTGACATCCTTGCTGCTTTGTTTACCAGTCTTCATTGTATGACCGAAGCAAGTCACAATTGCCTCGTTGGTGTTTGGGAGAGTGACTTAGAACATTTCCGGACGGGAAGGAGGAAGAAAGGGAAGGGCGAAAGGACGGAATTCCCCTTCAGTTTTGGCCTCCATGGGCTGCACATTCCACGGACCTTACAATGGCCCGAGTATCCATTCTTGAGTCCTGCCTGGATTACCCCAACACCGGCGTTGACACCTCACACCGGTGAACCGATCCTGAGCATGCTGAGGTGGTACAGGCTGACTCCGATGCCAGGATGGCAATGGTCGCCATCTCATGGCACAAAGGTGACTCCCCGGAGAAATGTACCTCTTTTGAGCGGCGGCGTCTTATTTGTACTGCGAAGTCATTAAAGCTGCATACCGTGGAAGTCCTGTGGAAGTCCTGTGGAAGTCTACTGTAGGCACGGTCGTGGACACTGTCTCTGAATGTCGCTCAGCTCCGCTTGGCTGAGGTGAGACGGAAATAGCCGAGACGTGCCCAGCTCCAAGCACTTTGTGAAAGGGAAGGAATGCTTACCATGTACAGTCTAAAGAGGAAGGGGCTGGAGGGGGGAGAGCGAGACAAAGCAAAGGAGGAGCTGATTGCGAATGCCATCATGCATTGTATACTCTTTCGGGACTGTCTGAGAAACACGTTTGAGGCTTTGATGAGGGAAAGCAGCATATACAACAGCTTCCCATTTCCTACGTACCCTGCCGACCGACGATCAACCAGTGGAACCAAGAGCATGAATGTTGGTTTCAAAGCCCCGGCCACCACTATGCAGAAGGCACACCCTCAACCATGGAGCCAGGTACTGGCGTGATGGATGCGCGACCCGGCGGGCATGAGTTCCCTCTATTTACGAAGTAAAGCAGCAGTAGCACGGTTGGCCACCTCACAAAAGCCGCCACCTTCGCAACAGGACAGATTGAACATCTTGGCAGCCGAAGCGCAGGGAAAGAATCTGGCACTGGGATTTGCGAATGGGGATATCTACAATTGTACAAGGCTGGGCAGCTGGGCAGTGCGACTTCTGCACATGCTGCCTGGAAAGTTAGAGCTGAGACATCTATTGAAGCGTCCCCTGAGGTACACATCCGACTTTGATTGGATCCGTGAAGCTCAGGGCTGGCCAAAGGAAGTGCCTCGGAACGCACAAACGGTGACAAACAGTGACAAACAGTCACAAACGAACACGCGAACACCTCTGTGCCCTTCCCCGTGTCCGTCATTTTAAGTGTGATCCGTGTCACTTGGGAATGTAGATTTCGCGGAGGTTGGAGAGGCCTGTCAAGTTGCTCTGCTTTTCCACTTCACCGTATGAGACGTGTGCCCAGGTACGTGTTGAGCCCCGAACAACCATTTCAGAAGATTTGTGTCTGGAACGCTTCTCCGGAGGACAGTTACGGCCACAAGCGCCCACAAAAGGCCCACAAATGGCTCGGGAAGCGACAAGGCATCGGGCATTGTCCTAGTTGTTTGAATCCGCGGCCACTGCGATGATGCGATGATGACCTCTTCGTCCTTGCGCGTTCGGTGCAACTCAGTCGACTCGAGGCTGCTGTGCGATGTTCTGCGCAGATGATGCTTGGTGCAGCGGCGCCGGCGAGTCGGAATATTGTGCACATTGTGCACATTGTGCACCAAAAGCGCCAACAGCGAATGCGGTGTTGTGAACTTGTGAACTTGTAACCGGCCTTGAAAATGCATCGTTCCGCCTCAGCCTGGCATGCGCACTCTTGAGGGACTGCCGTTTGCCGGATATCGGACGGGCCCATGAACTTGGGGATTGCAACTTGCGACGGAACACAGCCGAGATGAGATGGTAAGAAAGGGCTCAGTTGGCACTGCACTTGGTCTGCAGGCCCAAGACACAGGGAGCTACGTAGCTCCTCAATGCCCGCAGTTTACAATCTGCGAAGTTGTGACAAGCGCTTCTTTCTTCTTTCTGTTGATTCTTCTGTTGTGAGGCCATCAGCTGGTTTCAGGATTTCCTACAAAGACGTCCCGGCGAGGCCCCTAGAGACAGCTACCTGCAGGACCGCGCAGCATGTGCCATGTTGGGCCGTATTGGGTCATGATGTGATGTTATGTGAATCGAAGAGAGTTTGCAGAGTCCACAAGGGGTCTCCAGGACCTAATGGCTGGCAAGAAGCCCGGAGAAGGCAGCACTCTCATGGACCTGGCCCCTCAGAAGCACAGAGGAGCATAAGCACAAAGGAGGTCGTCTCTCTCGGAAAAACCAACTAGTAACCTGGAGTAACTTGGAGCACCCAGCAGTTTACATTCCGAGGCTCTCGCCTCGGATGCATTTCGTCGAAGCGACCCGCTGGCAGATTTACAAAAGCGACTCTGCTGCCCCCAGCTTTCCTAGCGCAGGTCTGCCATGTGCCTATGTCAAGTTGCAATCTCGACTGAAAGGGCGTACTTCCGCAATGCCATCAGTTGTAATTTCATGTTCACGTGAGGCTTGTTCTCGGTGTTTCTTGAGACCTGCCCAAAAAGGAATCTGAAGCGGCAACCCGAGCTCGACCGACAGCGCCAGACTGCGGAGCGGCGATAGCTCAAAGGACGTGCCGTGAGGGTGTGCCAGCACACTGCCCCACTTTGTGTCCACTTGTGTGAGCACTCACCGCTGTCAGCATTTACCTTATAGACTCAAATTGTCCAGCGGTCTCACAAAATTATGGAGGCAGAGGACCGGGCGCCCTTTCCGAATGCCTGGAATGCCGGGCCAGCAGGGCCTGCAGGGCCAGGTGGCAAAGGGAACGGGAAAGGCAAGGGTAAAGGCGGCAAAGGCGGCAAAGGCGGCCAAGGCAAAGGCAAGGGCGGCAAAGGCAAGGGCAATGGCAAGAAGGGCAACGAGGAGCTGTCTGAGGACCGAGAGAATGCCTTGCGTAGCGCTTTGGAAGCCCTTGCCCAGGGCACAGAGCCTGATGCCACGCCTCGTGTTGGGGACGTGGTGGAGCTTCGAATCCTAGGCGGGGACCGTGCAGAGCTCCATGGTCGGCGTGGCCGTGTTGTCGGGGCCGTGCAACCAGGTGCTACGAAGAGCCTGCATTCCGGTGCCTACACGTTGCGTCTCGATGAAGTGGATGGCAGAGAACGGGAGGTGACAGCTCCGGCCAGTGACTTGCGTGTGGTGGAGGCCTCGATGCCACTCCCGGAAGCGTCGATGAGTTTCCCGAAGAGCCTGAGCGGCCTAGAGCGGAAGGCAGTGCATGCTGCTGCTGAGGCACTCGGCCTCGTTTCCCAAAGCTTCGGCCAGGGTCCGGAGCGCTACATCACTGTCTTCCGCGCTGCTGCCGTCACTGCGGCCACTGCGGCCGCTCCGGCCACGGCGGCCACTCCCACCCACACCGATGGCATCGACGGCACTGAGACGGAGAGGATTGGAGATGAGCTCGTGGAGTCCTCAGGTGTGGAGCTGGACGAAGTGAGCCGAGAGCAGCTGTTGCACAGCCTCGCAGTACCGGAAGACTGGCAGGTATTTGCAGACCGCTGCGAGCTGTGCCGCGGTCCTCTCAACAGTCCGAGCAGTCTGGGTGGCCCCAATTCCGTTGCCGCCGACATGGCGGGACAGATCCGACAGCTGGCTGAAGCGAACTGGGCGAACGGCCGGGCGAATGGCCGCGCGAATGCTGAGCTTCGTGTGGTCTCATTGGCCCGAGGCCTGGCTTGGGGCCTCTGTAAGAGGATGCTCAGATAATTCTCGGGTAGATTTGGGTTGTTCTTCTGCTTTCAGGATGTTTCTGGTGGAGTTAATGTAGTAGCCGGGTGGGGTTGCAGCACCCGCTCTAATTACGGTTTGCACGTTATGACATCCCTGAAGTCTGTCTCAAGTTAGCCATGCTTAATGTTTGCTATGCTTGTTGGAGTTTATTGAGCCGCCCCGTGATCGCATGCGCTTTTTTGACGGTAGTGTCAAAGTCGGCAAGTGTGACGCCTGCCAGTGAAGTGGGCAAGCACAAGGAGCCGAGGCAAAGCAGCGAACAGGCGCACCCCATTCGCTAGTTTCGGCCCTTTTGGCGACTACAAGTCTGCAGGTTGCAACCCTGAAGTAGCTAAGCGGTCATTGCAGGTGACCGGGCCATCGCCGTTGGTGTGGTGGGCATGCCCGCCTTGGCGCGGAACCCACAGGTGCTGGTGGCAGCTTCCCCCGGCACCAGCCGAAAAGCTGCCTCCGCCTCCCTGCGATCCTGGAATTCTTGGGCATCAGCGCCGTTGGTGCTCCGCGGCCGGCTCACGCAGTGGGTGGCGCCCGTTGAGGCGCCCGAGAATGGGCCGAGGCTGTGAGATGCGCTCAAAGGGCGACGCGAAGAGAGGAGAAAACAGCGGACTTTGAGGGAGGAGGCTCATATTCTCCCAGTCTCCGTGTCCGTCTCCGTCTCCGCCTCCGTCTCCGTCTCTGTCTCTCTCTGTCTCTCTCGCTCTCTCGCTCTCTCTCTCTCGCTCTCTCTCTCTCTCTCTCTCTCGCTCGCATCAGCCGAGGGCACCGGGAGATGTCCAACATTTTCCAACGTTTAGAGGGAGTTTTGGCAACCGGCTATGCTCGTGGGGTTGTACACACCAATGAAGGGATGTCTTCTGGCATAGAGTTGCTTTGACAGAGGCTGTGCTAGGTCTGTCCCCTGCTTGAAGAAATCAATGGCGCTCTTGGGTTTTGTCAGCGCCCGTACGACCCGAAAGGCTGCTGTAACAAAATGGTGCGCTTCGGGTTTGTCAATTGCCATGCTTGATAAAAGTCGTTGCGCAGTTCGGTCTGTGAAAGTTACGCACGATATAGTCTTGGTACACAGGTGTCCACACACGCAAACTTGCGCGCACGCGAGCACGCGCGGGGCAGAGCTCTCCATGCGGAGAAGCAGGAAGGCACACTGCGTGAGGCCATGTAACAGCTTGGCGTCCGAAAAACAGGTGCAAGCCTGCTCTGAAACCACCTGCGGCCTCGCGGACGCGCGGGCGATTGAAACCAAGCTTGCAGACATTGCCCTTCGGGCTCAGAAAGTGGTCTCCAGCGTCTCATGGTTTACTTGTCTTGGCTGGCACATACTACGCCGCCCAGATTCCTGATTTGCCCCCACAAGCTTGCAACTGTGCTTGCAACACAGACATGAGCAATTTGGTATTTATTTGGGGCAAAACCGGTGCCGCAGCATGCAATATGCAAAGCTGGAGATGCCGACTATTACGTGTTTTTTTTGCTCTCGTCGTTTTTCCTCCCTGTGAGAGGCTCCGCCGGCAGGTTTCCCAGGCACCTCCGAGGCCGCGGTGGTCTTCGGCGCCCAGGCCGGCAGAATATTGGAGAGAACATGTTCGAGAGCGCGCCACTTGGAAGAGGGTGCTTTACAGCTGTCTCTGCCGTGTGACCTTGCTCCACCGAGCGGAATCGGCAAAGCCTCATCTAGAGAGTGATCCCTGACCAGGCGACAGCTCTACCTGCACTCTGGCGCCCTTCGATTTAGATTTGGGCACGCGGCGGTCTGGAGGCTAAGGGGTGAGGTTACCCGCAGATCCCCTCTGAAGTCCTGAAGTGGGAACTGCCAGACATAGTGACCACAGCATGTCCTCGCCAATAGCTGCCTGAGGAAAGCGCTCCATAGTGGAGTTGGGCTGCGGCACGGGCTATGTATCGAGCTCGGGTGCTGAACATGCCGAGATGGTCACCTGCATTCACGTTACCAGAAATGAAGGTCGGGCTTCTCCTGGCGAACCTGGGCGCGCGGGTGACCCTCACAGACCTGCCAGTCTTTGAGGATACGGCCATGGCCTCTATCTTGGCCTCAGGGGCCGACATCAGGCACCTCGGCATTCTCAAAATTTCCACGCTTCTTCCAGGATCCTCTCCATGTTTCAACCATGCGGTGCAAATTCCTTGCAGGCCCCCGGGCAGTGCGACTTTTTGTGCCTGGGTGGAAAGTTGAAAAAGTTGGAACGACTGAAGGGACGGGCAACGCTACCTTGCTACGAGGCTGCCTTGACTGGTCACGCCCTGACGCGTCACAGCATGCAGCGGCCGCGCTCCGCGGCGCCGACGTCCTCGTCGCCGCAGAGCCGGTCACTTGCCAGCGGCCTCGGTCGCAACAAAGGAGGGAACGTCCGACAAGTAAATAACTCAGGTAGCAGGGCGTGGGAGGTTCAGAGCGGATGCATCAAACTTGGTGTATGAAAAGTTCCAGGTCTCGACGAACCCGAGACTAGCTTGCTTGTTTTTCTGGTGGTCTAGGCAAAAGCTTATATGATGCAAAACTTGATCCGGAAGCATGTGGCATATCGAATGTTGACAACTCGCCAGCGCATGGGATTGTCCGCGGGACGAGCATGGAGAACCTGGACAACTCCTAAGTCCTAAGGCACTCTCAGAATCATTTCCTTGGGCTGCTGAAAACTGTGCTCGGCATTGGTGGTGGAGGCCAAGCGCGGAGGTTCTGTGCAGTTTTTTGGACTGTTTGAACAAAAACCTCGCAGTTGTGAGCAGGCGCACGACTTTGCCCTCGTTTGGAAGGTGCCCCACCCCCAATGTTCGGCGAAAGCTTGAAGAGTAGGGCTGCTCTACAGGTTTCTTGGTGGAGTAGGGCTGCTCTGAAGGTTTCCTGGTGGCACACAAGCACCAGCAGAACTTCTGCATAGGCCTGGCATGGCTTGGCATTTCGCAACTTTCGATCACGTAGCCGTCGCCGCACTCCTCATGTCCCCCTGAGCTCAGACTCCCACATCTCCCACAAGTGCCTTTGGAACTCTGAAGCTTGCAGGAGGCTACAGTGCCCCCTCACTCCAAGCAGCTCCTGGCATCGCGCTCTCAGACAGCTGCGACCGCTGCACCTTCCGTCGACAGTTATGGGATGCAGGCACAAATGGACCTGGAGAGTACTTCTTGCACTTGTAATTATGTGCCATGGGCTTCTAGTATTCTATTCGCGGCCCCTGTATCTCTTCATTTGGCCGCATCATAATACTATTTCTGTCCCCCTTACGTGAATTTTGCAACGAAGGTAATAAAAGCACGCTTCGTTCGCAGGGCACAGGCCCCAATATCACGAAAGCTAGCACGTAGGAGCTAGCCGAGTTTCTTACCAACCGCAAGGTTGAACAACAGGGGTGTGGGGATAGGGCCCGGCTGGGGTGCGTGCAAATTAGGGCTAAACGAGGGTTTTTTGGGGGGGGGGGGGGGGTTGGGGGGGAGGGTGGGGAAGGGAGGGGCAGGGAGGGGGGGAGGGGCAGGGAGGGGAAGGGCGGGAAGTCCGTCACACAACAAGCGGTGGCACTGTAGCTTCACCTGTGTTGCTTGTTGCTTGCCGGTTCGGATTGAGGTGCAAAGTTGAAAGCTTTGGCACGTCGGCCCCGGCTGGATACAGGTCGACTACAGCTACCCATTCCGGGCCATAAAAACCTCGGCGGCGGCTGTGGCTTGCTAGACTTGGATCTAAACGCCTCAGGCCTCCGGCCTCGGCGCATATCTCTTCAAGACAGCATCGAAACGATGTGACTACATCTCCAAGCACGGCGTCGAAACCATGCACGGGTGAGCTAAGTGCATTCCAACAGCAGCGTCGAAACCATGTATGGGTGGGTTTAATGCTCAGAGGCTTCTCCGGGGATACGGCGGTTGGGCACTCCAGGGATTCTGTGCACTGGGTTGCACTCCAGGGCTTCGGGTTGGGCACTGCAGGGTTTTGCGGGACACTCAAGGCGTTTTCCGGGCAGACTCTGGGTTGGGCACTCCAAAAACTCTTTGGGGGTCTTTTGGGGTTGGGCATTCCAGAAGTGCTCTGATGTTGTACTCGGGGCTGGCCAGGAATCTGTTTGGATACTCTGGGCCGGGGTTCTCTGGGGTTGGGCACTCCAATTACTTCCCAGAAGCAAAAAACTAGCTCCAGTACCTCAAATAAGTCCTGCAGCTCAAAATTAGCCCAGACCTCAAAATTAGGTCCCGGAGCTCAAAATTAGCTCCCAGAGCTCAGAATTAGCTCCCGGGGCAGTCTCTGGGAATGGTCTTGGGCTGGGCAGTCGACGGGTTTTTGCTCCAGGGTTCTTCGGGGGGTGCTATGCCAGTGGGGTGGGATACGGGTGATGGGCGAGGAGTAGACAGGCCGTGCACTGGGTAGTCACCGGCAGGTCTCACATTTGCCTGTTCAGTCAATGCTGTTCACCTCAGTGGCTTCTCCAGCAGCTGCACTAGCTTTCGTTCCCAAGTTAGCATTATAAGCCCCATTCGTGCGTTCCTTATAGTGCGGGCGGTGAAATTGCCCAGGTCTTCGGGGGAGAGCATGGCTAACCTTGACTTTTCCTCTCGTACACCGTCAGTCTCATGACTGCCCACCAGCAACCCCATTAATAATATTAACATTGCAGGCGCATGTGCTTGCCATGTGTGGGTTTTGGGGTCTGAAGAAGTGACCGCCCGGAAGGTCGAAAAGCATGCGTTAAATCAGAGAGCATAGATTTTCTCTCAGTGTGGACTACGACCAGTGTTGCTTAAGGAAGCAGGTTATGTATGAATGAGGCGCTACAAGACACTCAATGAAAAAGGTAAGAACCTAATGAAGCAAAGGAGACAGGAGGAGATCGAGAAAGAGAGACTCCTTGCGTGATGTAAACGTACATGGGCGCACGCAATAGCATTTGATCTGCAAGCTTCTGAAGTGCAGGTGTTTCCGTCAGCTCCTTTGAAATCCCGCCGCCTAAAGAGCTGGGTTCCTGGCTTTGAGAGGCAGCATTTCCATGAAGACATGCCACACTCACGAACTTTGCAAGGTTTGCTCACCCCTTCGTCGAGTGTTGGGAGATCCGACTCCCATCGAGATGAAAAAGACAGCTTGATTTCGTGCTGGTTGTGAAGGGGAAACCGGAGATGTCCGTTTCGGATGAGCAAAGGCTGATCTCGCGTGAACACGTGCAATCAGCGTGCAATCATGCACAAGCGCACATCTAGAAGATGGGATTGTGCCATCGTGGCTGGAGATGAGGAGAATGCTGGTTGGCTCGCGCGGCACGTGCGCGAAACGTTTGGACTAGCTCCACACCCATGTGTCGCTAGCGTCAAAGTTCTTTTCTCGGATCTCTCGGATACATGCGTGGTCTCAGCATCAATATGAGGGATGCGGATCAAAACAGTTTAGGATCAAGAAAGGATGTATTTAGGATCAAAAAAACTTTTAGGATCAAGAAATATTTTGTTCTGTTCTTCCGACGGAGAGGAGGGAAGGGGAGGGAGGGAGGGTGAGAAGGAGGGAGGGAGGGAAGGAAGGACGGAAGGAAGGAAGGAAGGAAGCAAGGAATCAAGGAAGCAAGGAGGCAAGGAAGAAAAGAAGGAAGGAAGGAAGAAAGGAAGAAAGGAAGGAAGAAGTCAAGAAAGAAAGAAAAATAGCAAAAGAAAGAAAGCAAGGAAGAAGTCGTGCCAGCTTGCTTCAAAGCATACGCATCTTTTCGAAACCCATTATGCGAGCATTGTGTTTGCAAATGGGGGGGCCCCCCCACAACCCCCCGCTTTTTCAAAGTCGTGCCAGCTTGCTTCAAAGCATAGGCATCTTGTCGACGCGTTGTGTTTGCAAATTGGGGGGGAGGGGGGCGCTGCACCCCCCCAATTTCGAAACCCATGATGCGAGCATTGTGTTTGCGCATGGGGGCGGGGGGGGGGCGCCCCCCCCCCCCCAACCCCCCACTCTTTCTTTAATCGTTCTGGCTTGCTTCAGAGTATACGCATTTTTTTTGAAACTTCTAATGCCAAGATGCCAGCATTGATTTGCCGCCTCTGGAAGCTCAGAAATACTGCTATTTACAGTATTTCCAGCCTCTGAAAGCGCAGAAATGCTGGTATTTACAGCATCTGCAGCCTCTGGAAACTCAGAAATGCTGCGGGGTACAGTATTTCCAGCCTCTGAAAGCACAGAACTGCTGCTATATACAGTATCTGCAGCCTCTCTAGAAACTCAGAAATGCTGCTATTTTCAGTAGTTCCCGCATAGCTGCTGTGTTTTTTCGGTATTTGGAGCTTGCGAACGGCCAGAAATGCTGCATTTCTGAGCGTTTGCAGACTCCACTCCGCTTGCAACAGGCCTTCGAAGCCTTCAGCAAATTGTTTTTTGATACCAAAACAGTTTGTTTGGATCCGCCTATAAATTAATTTTCTTGATCCCAAATATATTTTTTGATCCCCTACCCTTGTCAATATGAGGGGTAGATCCCAGCAATTCCTTTATGCTTCCCCAGTCGCAGGACGGCTATGAACAACAATTCTGACAAAGACGTTTGAGTGCACCAGGAGTTGTTGATCTGAGATGGCAGTCCGAGTCGACTGACCACATACTTGGCAACAGAACGTTGCCCCGCCATGTTCGGTATGAGGCAACAGAAAATTCAATGCAACAACGTCAGGAATGTATAGCATCTCTATCTGTGCCATGGATTGGTTAGGGAAATTGGCCGACCCTGTAACCAAAGATGTCGCCGTTACTAAAGGAGTCCTATTTAGCCTATTTAGTTCCTTTTGCTCCGCTGACCCATACCCTATGAAAGTATATGATTGAATTCGGTGGGTTCACTTCTGACTTCCTGATAGGACTTGTTCAAGACACCAGGTGTTGATTGCCCGACTGAAAAGACAAGAAATGTTGATCAGCAACCCATCGGGCAATGCACTATTGAAGATATCCCATCTGCAGCCGTCGCTTCTTTGCACGCCGTAAGTTGCAGATGCCGTCGTAAGCCCCAGCAAAAGGACCATGAATCACTTGAGAACCATGCATAGAAACACTTGCCGTGTTGAACCTACCATCACCGCATTTCAGCGCATTGTCGCCCTGCAATGCAGCTGCATCGCAAGTCCCGGGTGAAGTCACATCGAGACCCAAGGCAGGGAAAGGAAAGAGACCCAGGATGCCCTGCTGCCCGGATGTCTGTTGCCAGGTTCGCATACAGGTTGGCATCGCCTAGGTGCGCGCCTCGCTGTGCAAATGTGGCTCCCCACGCCCCCACGCCCCAACAGAATGCAATGACGGGTTTCGGCTGCAGCAAGGCTGGGCCAAAGGGAAGCCCATAGCCAAATAGCAGGCAAATAGCCCACATCCTTTGACGCTTCCAAGCCATGGGCCGCTCCGACAAGCCGACCAAGCGGACCGTGGGTGCTGCCAAGGGCAAACCCGGCAAGCGAAAGGCAGGGGTAGCGTGTGCACCAGTTCCACTGACACGGGACTCCGGCTCGAAATTTTGAAACAGGCAGTTCCGCCCAAGAAGGAAAGGCCGGGGCGGCTAACCCTGCAAGAGCAGTAGCAGGCGGCAGAAAGCGCAGGTGAGGGCATGAGGATGGGTGAGGTGAGGTTCAGGACTCAGTCTTAGTCTTTGCCAGGCCGAAAGAGGCGACGGACGACCCGGTGGCGCTCTCGGATCGGCACGTGGCAGAGGTCAGTGGGAGAAGTTAGAAAGAAGCGTTTCACTACTGTAGGACCTGGCACCTGCCAAAGCGTGATTGCTTTAATTCCGGTGCATCTTTCGATTCAGGCTTTGGCAGAGTCCCTGCCCTGCGATTTGACGCCGCAGCAGATTTTCTGTGTGATGAGCCATTGGGCAAAACCCATCCTCAAGGCGCGGATCCCCGGGCAGGCTGGCCGGCGGCCAACGAAAGGAATGCTGGAGAAGGCCAAGCAGCAGGTGTTTCGGTTCTTGGCACGTGAGAAAAGTCTGGGAGAGGACAGCAAGGTGGTGAAGGCCTTTCAGCTCGCTACAGGCGAGCCATCTTTGCGCTTCGACTGGGACTTTGCTCAGCAAAAGACACGTCACGCCAGCCTGGACCGAAAGCGGGAGATTGATGCATGGTCGGAGTGCTTTGCCATGACCAGCGGCTCCAGCAACCTGCAGTCCGAGATCTTCGTCTGCGGCACAAAGAAGCTTACACAGAGGGCCTTGAACTCGCTACTTTGCCACGAGCCCGGGTCCCGGTGTAATCGCGATTTGGCAATTTGGCAACGCAACAGACATGCAACAGACATGCAGCAGACATGCAACAGACATGCTCCTGCATGACTGCACTTCTCTTGATTCTCGTAGCTGCCTCCCTGCAACTGTAAGCGGCTGCGCCTTGAGCAGCCTGAGTTTGATGCAGAGTAAATAACGGTGTCCGTTGCGCTTCAATGGGTTGTTTGTTGGACATTCATTCGTCGGTTTGCGGTTGCCGTCTTGGGAGGTCCTTGCACAACTTGGCACGCCGCATGCGACCTGGCAATCCGTTCTTTGCAGAGGACCGAAATGAAAAAAGCGCAGTAAAGCACGGAAGAAACACACTACACAACACTACACATATCTACACGCGGCCAGCCTCCATTTTGCAAGGACACAGAGCACATGGCCATGGCTCTGCTCGGCGATCCCCAGCTGGTCCACGAGGAGAACTTGGACAAGGTCTTAAAGGGCAAGGGTGACTGACAAGGAAATCTTGGCCCTGGCCGAAACAGGCGAATTCAGATGTAGGATCCCTTTGTTGGGTGACATTGAAATGTGCTTCGCGTCGTGAAAAGTGTAGACACTGCAGACATCCATTCTTTGCTAGTCGTCGCGCAACAAGGGGGAATCCCGGCTTTCGGTTGTCCATTGTGAGCCGAAAGCAGCTGTTCGAGATCTTCCGTGATCTTTCCAGATCTGTTCCTGAACACTTCTGGCGGTGAGAATCGAGGAAGAGTAGATCATCTAATCGCATCTTGCGACTGCAGAGGAATAGCAGCTTGAATAGCACATAAGCACCGTACAGACTTGCAGGGGAGCAACATGTAGCCGCGCGGGCCCTCGAGGCCGCTCTCTGCCAATGTGTTTGCATTCCTGAGAGATGTGAAATCACTGAGAGCCTCCATGAGACTCCGCTAAAGCCCGATGCAGATGTTTTGCTGTCGCAGTGGGCTGTATTTTCGATGCCAGGGTGCCCCACGTTGGCAGTGGTGAGCTATGCAATTACTTCTTTCAACAGCAAATGTCCTAAGGACACAAAGTCCACAACGTGCAAGGCGTGTAAATGACAATGTCGGGACTTTCAATACCCGCAGCGACGCAACATGATTGACCTGGAAAAAATCATGTGCGAAAGTGGTTCTCGTGTGCCGGATGACCAGCACAAATGTGAAAGATGGATGCCACCGGCGCTGAAAAAGTAGCCAAGCCAGACAGTCAAACACCATAAGCAGGTTCCCGGTCCCTTGAAAGCTTCGTCGTTGTTCGGTAGTGCAGCGGCGTTGGCTCAGAAAAGAGCCATGAGCTGTGCTTGGCCTTTTACCCATACCCTGGCATGCCCAGACCTCAGAGAATCTAGCGGCTCCCAAGAATTCAAAGAGAGCGAGTGCGCCAATTGCCAGGCAGCAGCAGGGGCTGCTCCAGGCTAGCTTTGCTTCAAGATCTTCAGAGTTTCGCGTAGCGTCCGTGTACTTCTGCTGACGTGTGATCCGTTCTCTTTCGGCTGGCAGGTAGCTAGTTGCGGGAAAGGAGCGCAGAGATATGCAGAGATCGCAGTGTGGCGCCTGGCAAAATTCGTCTGAGAGACACAGTTTCGCCTTTCAGCCCCCTTTGATCTCATGAAAGAACTGAGGCCAGGTATCCTTGACTTGCAGGCAGTCGTTGTCTCAGTTCCTGCGGAAGTAGCTGGAACATCACGGCTCTGCCATCGCGTTGTCGCTCCTGGATAAGGATCTCAGGGTGGCATATGAAAGGATCCGGCTGCAGGAGATAGAGCTTGAAAATTTGCGCCGGTGCCCCGGTGGTGCCCCAGTGGCGACTCAGTGGTGCTCTGGTTCGGCTTCCTGATGTATCTGAGTGTCATGGCTCATATCGAAACATCGATTTTCTCATCTTACTGAAAAGCTTGAGTAGTTGCGAGCCCACTTGCAGGCGTTGCCTGTGAGCAAGGCCGAGAATTAAATGCCTATTTGAGCGTTCTGGCCTGAGCACAGCTGAGAGCAGCAGCTGCCCGCGTGGAGCTGACTAGCGTGGTAAGGGTGTTCGATAAGGCCGAGCTTCAGCGTGCAAATCTGCTACTGCAGCAGCAGGCAAGCGAGGGCGCAGCCCGCTCAGCAATGCTAGAGTCGTGATTTGTCAGACAGAGAGGAGTTTGCTGCAAGAGGTGCAGAGACTGCCGATTAGCGCAGCCCAGGTTGCCGGCAGATGCAGTTTTACCTTTTGCTGGCTCTCACATTTCCCTATGGCATGATGCCAGGTGCCAGCCTACCCTCACTATGCTCTTCAACAGACTCCGCCCACAGCTTAGCTTACAATATCAAACAATCCCTTCCCCCTAGCATATATTTTCTTCGATGATGGGTTTCGTGTCCAGGATGTTAGGCTCTCGTGTCGAAGTTGCCCATGATTCCCCCATACTATCGGGTGGGCTGGTTTCTTACACAGACACTCGGCTTGGCTGTACATGCGGCATCCCACCTTCTCTTCCTCTCCCCCAACCATTGAACTGTTTGGCCTCCCGCTCCCCTTTTGCTCATGGTCTTTGCCATTCTGACAATTTCCACAAGTTCCATGCATCCGGCTCTGCTTCTCAGGCCTGGATTGTTGTTCAAACAACAGATGTACAGTATCAAAATGTTCCACACAACATAGTCAGCCTTGTAGGTCTCGCACGCATGGAGAGAGATGACGCAACTGTTGCAAGGTCAGCATCTCCGCCGTATGCAGAGCCCGCAATTCCTAGCTTGCCACCGCTGGGGCCTTAGTCGGGATGCCATCTGAGTTTATACGAGTGTGGGGCCATGGGATGCACATTCCCAGGGCCTAGGCTGTGCTGTGCTGCTGCGGTGAACATGGTTCTGGCTCCGGATGAGCGGTTTCAACAGTTTTTTTGCTTGCATTTCAGCGTTTTGAGATTTTGGGCTCTGGACTCCGGACTTCTGTGGGCGCGTGTATGTGTGTGTGGGCATCCTTGTATAACCGTATAACTGGATGTGTGAGTAAGTGCTGCTTCGTTTCGATTGTTGCAAGGGGACAGGGGTTACCAGCCCTGTGGAGAGCGGCGTAAGAGACTCGCCTTGGTTCGGGAAGGAAAGATAGGTACCTCATTCTACACCGATGCAACGGCGGAGGAAAAGAGGGCCTGGCTTCCTGGAGGAGGCCCCTGGGTTCTCCCTTGAGGTCACCAACAAGGCGACGCCAAGAGAGTGACAGCAGCGTTGGAGCTCTTGGCCACCTTGATGGCAGTTAAGCTGTGGGTCCCAGCCACAGCGGGAAGGGTGAAAACCCGGGTAGCGATACCTGGAGTAGAGAGTCTTAAGCAGACTACTTGACACTCCGATAGTTGCTACAAAGAGCAAAAGGCTAGAAAAGCTGGCCTTCCCGAAGAGAAAGAGGGCGAGGAAGCCAGAGCCTAGCCGGAACGACTTCGCTAGGGGGATAGCCCTGATGTGGTTCAGGGAGGTATCCTCAGGGAGGTATCCTCCGGCTACCAGATGCACCATACCAGGCAAAAAGGAGCGGGTTCTTTTCGGGTCTGGCACGAGAATGTGTGCTAACGTTACCTACGTAAGAGTCTGAACATCGAAGGTGTTTCAGCATGGGGGCACAGTTTGGATACGTAACCGATAAACTGTGGTCCAAGACCCCACAACATGTGGGGGGGAAATTTCGAGTTTTCACCCACCCAAACCACAGACTGGGGAGGTTTCATCAAGTTCAAATCTGAACTGCTGGGGAACGTTGCTCTTATGTCACGGACATGGCGCTCCACGTCTTGTAGAATTAGGTGCTTTCTTGGAACTGTCTCAGTGGCATTGATGTCCTTGCCTCCTGGCTCAGGCTTTGAAATTCTCGCACACACACACAAAGAGTCTGACCTTCGCGTTGAAACTCAGCTCCTGCGCTTGGGTCGCCGACTGAGTTGCTTCGTTTCGCGTTATTCGGGTACAATCCGCTGTCATCGGTAAGGGCTCTGGGCGGGATATGTCAGGCGATACGCCCAGGTCCATATGAGCCTGATCAGCCCTGGTCTCTTCCCATGCCTGACTTGATGTCGTGTTATGCGCCGTTGCTGCGGGTTCTTTACCTTTCCGTCAGATCCCTCAAGCTTCCATGGTACCTTCCAAACCTATGTCGCTGCATATGGGGTGCCGGTCGGTGCAGGCTGCCGCTACTGAAGGGTTGGTTGTCATGGTGCCCCCGCGACCACACCAGTGTCGCCACATGCCGCGACGCCACTTCAGCCGAGATCCCTCCCTTCGGCCTTCCCCGGCTTGGGGCAGATGAGGGCGTCTCTTGTACAGCCGAAGAACTGGACTGAATTCTTCTAGAGGTTGTTGTGCCACCTTCAAAAGTAACCTTTGCACAGGAACGATGGCCTTGCTCCACCCCTACCGGGTCAACTTGTCGCCTGACAATTACATGTGGCGGTGTTTTGCCAACATTCCGTGAGTGTTCTGCACGCGTGTCGGCTCGCCTCCGACTCTGGCCAACTGAGAAACGATAACGTGCGTTTTCCTGCATGTTTTGTTTTATGCGTGACGGATAGTTACTGGTTGATTTTTAGATGGTTTTGCGAACTTGTGCCCGTTTATGTCCATCGAAATCATTCGATATGACAGGTCTCCCAGCTCCCTGCCGACTCCGAAGTGTTCAGGTGCAGGACTTCTTGCAAGTCTCCTACTCGTGCGGAAGCCTCATGTGGGATGGTATTCTTCCTCTCTGCAGGAGGTCCATTTTCTGGCATATCAAGTACATGGCAAGAGCCGCACCAGCAGGAAACCGTTGACAGCTTCGGCCCTGTGCATGTGACAAGCGTGCGGTCGCGCATTTTGTGCTTCGTTGGGAAGAAGGACTTGCTGAATGACGTCCCCACTGTTGGATCCAAATGGCATGCCGAGGGCACGTGCCGGTGTCTTAGCCTATCTTGGCAGGCGGTCGATGCACCTAGTCAGACAAGATCATGGTTAAGCTAGCATAGGCTGCCCGTGAGCCAAACCATTGTCAAAGCAGTGCAGTGGCACTTGGCACTTGTAGTGGGAAAAGAACGCTCTGGAGGAGCGTTGAATTAGAATGTGTTCATCAAGTTGATCAGGCTGAGTCCTTGCCGCACTGCCGAGCAATAATGCTTCGATTGATGGTTCTGAAAAGCTGAAGTCCTCGGCAAGAAGGCTGCAGAGATGCAGCTGTCGGCAGTCTTCCAGCGATCTTTACTGTCCTGCTTCTGTTCGATTGCACCGAATACCTTGACTCAGATAGGGCAGACGCAAGTTAGTTTCTGCATAGAAAACAAACTTTGGTCTACGGGGTAAGTTAGTTTCTGCATAGAAACAAACTTTGGACAACAGGGTTTCTGGGTTAGTTTATGCATACAAAAACAAACTTTGGTCTACGGGGCAAGTTAGTTTCTGCATAGAAAACAAACTTGGGGTTTCTGGGTTTGTTGATCCAGAGAAAAACAAACTCTGGGGAAGGGTTTTTCTTTT